GGGGAAGGAAGGGGGTGGAGGGGGGGGTGGGAAAAAAAGGGGTGGGGTAGTGTAGGCGTGGGTGGATGGGGGTTGGGTAGTGTAGGCGTGGGTGTAAGGGGGTGGTGTGGTAAAAATGGCGGAGGGAGGGGAGGTATGAGGGGAAAAAATGCGAGGATGGAAAGGTTGGGAAGAGGAAGAAGCGTGCGAAGAAACCTGTGGTGAGTGATGGGAAGGTGGGGGGCGAACGGAGCCGAAGGAGATGGGGGGTGCGGTGGTGATGGGAGGGAGGGTTTGGGATGAGGGTGGGAGGCGATGAACAGCGTCTAAAAGGGTTTGTTGGAAGGAGGATTGTTGCTGGGTAAGGTTCTCAAGAGCCTTGCCAAAGGAAACCTGGAGAGAGGAAAGGTTTTGCTGGACCTCTAGAATTTGCTCGCGGTGTAAATCCACCTCTAATTCGATGGCAGGAATGGAAGGAGGGGAGCTGGCCACAGGACTGCCCATTGTCGTGGTGGCTCTGATACCAATGATAGGTACCAGCACAATGTATTGCAAAACAGATAGAAGGAAACAGACAAAATAAGTATTTGGCAAAGTTCAATATCCTTTCTCATTGATGCAATAGCATTTTATACATGAGGTTGTTAGGGCCAGCCTGTAGGCTGCCACGTAAGAACAGGTGAACAGCTAATCAAAAATGATAGAATGGCTAAAGTGGCCTTGGAGGAAAGCATAATGGTAAGGCATTCGTCCATGAGGACCAGGGGTTCCATCATTCTCTTCTCGTATTTATTGAACCAAAGTGATAAATTGTCCAAATCAACTAGCGATCAATATGCTACTGTATTCGGCGGAGGTGATCATCAACCAAAGCAAACAACAACATTGCTAATCACATTTCTCACAAGAGAAATGCCCCGTTGACGATATAACGATAAATATGATACAAATAGTTTTATCAAACAAAGAGTTGTATGAGATTAACTCTGGTCCAAAGAAAAGCTGTTCATTGGTAACGATATCCCGTGTCCTTGAAAAATACTCTTGTGGTCCTCAAAAGTCAAAACCGACAACCATGTCTATGAAAAACCAACATATTGTGTAATATCAAATTTACATCACAAAAACGTGTTGAGTAATAAACATAAAAAATCACGTGTAAAACCAAGAAATTAAAAAAAGCTCAGCTTAGATCAAGCTAGGTGTACCAAAATCTTCCTGGATCTGTAAAATACAATTCTTGTGTATAATTTTCAGTATTTTTTCACATGTGATGTAGAGTTTGTATTGTCTTTTTATACAACCGCTAGCAGAACAGTAACCACTGGCCACTGTAGCAAGAGAATGAGAGGTGTGCAGACACGTCATTGATGCAGTGCAAGGTGGACGAAGAGTCAAACATGGCGCACCCCATGTTGAAAAGGCTCCTATTCTATGACCAATTAGCATGCCCTCTGAAATCTAGTGGGCCCAGGACCCAGGTGTGTATATGTATTCCTTCTGAAACATTTAGCTAGCTTATAAACTGTACCAACCCAATTCAGCCCTTGAGAGAGACAGAGAGAGAAACAAAGCAAAGACAGAGATGGCTGGAGGTGAGGAAACTGCAAACACACTTGAAGCTACACCAACATGGGCTGTGGCCACTGTTGTCTTTGTTCTGATAGTGATCTCCATAATAATCGAGTATTTGCTTCATCTCTTACACAAGGTATGTTATAATTATATAATATAAAACTCTGTTTCATCTTTCCATCCATGCAATGCAAGGTGATCATTTGTTTCTGTCTTGAAATATTTGTGCAGTATTTTCATAGGTTAAAGAGGAAGTCTCTCATTCAGGCTCTTGATAAGATCAAATCAGGTTAGAGTCCACAACATTAATTAAGCTTAACTTAATATAAAATGATGGGTACATACGTAACATAAGAAATGCTACATAATTATTTTCTGTTCTGAGATTGTGTTTGTCCCTCCATGTAGAATTGATGCTGTTGGGGTTCATATCGTTGCTACTAACTGTGGGCCAAAAGCCAATTGCAAATATATGCATCCCAAAGAGCGTTGGTGAATCTTTTCTTCCTTGCAAGAGCTCCACCTTTGGTCATGCTGTCGAGGAAACCAAATGCTCTGACCAGGGAAAAGTTTCTTTGATGTCGAGGGAAGGTGCATATGAGCTGCAATACTTAATTTTTGTGCTTGCTATGTTCCACGTTTCATCTTGCGTCCTCACCTTTGCTCTTGGCATGGCCAAGGTAACTCATTCATTTCACTAATTCTTTGCTTTTTTCAGCAGTTTCCATTACATTTCTGCTGCCTAAATAATAGTTAATCCTATGTTATGCATGTTAAGCTTGGTTGTCTGCTTTTGACTTTTGCAAACATTAAGATAAAACTCAAGTTGCACTGTGACTTCAAAAAGAGGAAGGGAAATTGTAGAGGGACTTCCACAATTGTGAACTCTAACAAACTTTTGAAATCTTTGGTTCCTTGTTCTTTCTTTTGAGCTTTTAAAAGGGAAAGTTTGACTCGAGTTTGATCATGTTGACTTTTGTTGGTGAACATTTTATATTGTCTTGTTTTCCAGATGAAGAGATGGGAGTCTTGGGAGGCAGAAACCAGAACACTGGAGTATCAATTTTCTTACGGTAAGCTTTCAAGGGATATAAATGGATGGCATAGATATCTGCATACAAGTCTTTGGGGGTCCATTTGAGTTTTTAACCACATTTTTCTGACACCATACTGCAAATAACATGTAGATCCAAGGAGGTTTCAGCTCACATATCAAACCTCATTCGGGAAGCGACATTTGAAGTGTTGGAGTGACAATCGATTACTTCGTTGGCCGGTAATTAAACTCAATCAAATTTAATTAAACATACTGTTCTGTAACTAATAAACAAGAAATATAGCAAGTTTAATGATGTATATTTTAAATGCAGGCTTCCTTTGTTAGACAATTCTTTAATTCTGTCTCCAAATCGGATTACTTCACTCTCAGGCATGGATTCATAATGGTATTAATCTGTCAACACATCATGAATGACTCATTTGATTGGTTCAATCTAAAAAGTTTTGGGTGCTGTTTGTAGGCTCATTTTGCAGAAGGGAGCCATTTTAACTTTCAAAAATATATAAGAAGGAATTTGGAGAAGGATTTTGGTGTGGTTATGGGGATAAGGTAAACTTCATTAAGATGGCTCTTCATGATCATAAGACCTTGATGCTTATCTCTCTTTCACATCTCTCCAACTAAGCAAGCTTTGGCATTTTCTTTTTTTAACTTGTTTGCAGCTGGTGGATTTGGTTGTTCTCAGTATTTGTCATATTCTTCAATGCACATGGTAACAAGCCTGAATGAATCCAGTTATAAATTATTTCTTTTAATTTGGCTAACTCTATCATTTGCTGCACCTCTGCAGGTTTTTACAATTACTTATGGGTTCCCTTTATTCCTTTAGTGGTGAGAAAAATCAACTTTAATACTTAATTAAAGCTGTGATTAGATATTAGAAAGAAAAAAAAAAGAGTTGCAATTTTCATATGCTTTGTTCTCCTTCTATGCTACACCTACAGATGCTGTTACTGGTTGGAACAAAGCTACAGGGCATCATAACTAAGATGTGCCTTGACAGCCATGATAAATCTCATGTTGTTAGAGGAACTTTGCTTGTGAAGCCCAGCAATCACTTCTTCTGGTTTAACTGGCCTCAATTGCTTCTCCATCTTCTGCACTTCATACTGTTTCAGGTGAGTCTTCAATCATAACTTTAAAGCCAATAAAATAATGGAATTAAGAAAAGAAGATAATCTTTTAAATTTGTTTGCATCTTGCAGAATTCCTTTCAGCTGGCATTCTTCACATGGACTTGGGTAAGTAAGCACATATTTTAATCCGATATGTTGTTTGAAGTTTGAAAATGGTATATTCCCTTTACTAATTAATTAATTGCATATAATTGATTGTTTCAAAAAACAGTACAAGTTTGGCTTAAGATCATGCTTCCACCATGAAACGGAGGATATTGTGATAAGGCTGGGCATGGGTGTAATTGTGCAAATCCTCTGTGGCTATGTCACTCTGCCTCTCTATGCTTTGGTCACACAGATGGGCACATCAATGAGAAAAGCAGTTTTCACTGCAAACGTGGTTAAAGGGCTGAAAAAATGGAGAGCCAAGGCTAGGAAGAACCTGGCTCTTAGGAACCACCCTCACTCAGCACAACTCTCGTTGGACGCTTCTCTTGAAACTTCACTGTCACTAGGCACTTCACCTTCTTTCAGTGGTCATGATGCGTCATTCTCAACTGTGGATTTTGATCGTCCGTCTGACGATGCTGAATATGTAGCACTTGAAATAAGGGAGGCCCAAAAGGCACAAGGAGAAACAAGCACTTGAGTTTGAGTTCCATCTTTGGCCATGATTGGGGTGCACAGTTATTAAAGTTGCTCTTCATCTTGCCTATAATGTTCATAGATTGACGAGTATGATTTGTTTTTATGATTCTCTTGATATTGTTTAGAGTATCTCATCGCACATATAGGAAGTGAACTTTCAACAGAACATTTGAACAAATGTATTAAATTTTTTTGATCGATTAATTTCGTACAAGCAACACATGTAGTTGCATGAGTGGCAAATTGAAGAGACTACATGTGTTACTTACATTACAAGGACGACAAGGTCTAAGCTTAGCTTAATTAACTAGGATTACATTATATATACTCACATCAAACTCAGATTGTGGCCAGCCATTCCCGCTTATGTATACAAAATTACAATGAATTACCTTCTAGACCGTTTACTGGGCCGCCTAGAAGAAGAAGCGGCAGTCGCAACCGCTTCCTTTCGTCCATTTTCCCTTGGCCTCTTTGATGAAACTGGTGTATGTTGCTGCACTTTCGCTGTGTGAGGAATTAAACGATTAGGGCTGAATCTTTGTCGCCAACCCCTACTAGTAATTATCGGCGTCGGCCACCATGGGAGCACAAAAGGAAAGGCTGGGAAGACAGATAACCCAGCACAACGGAGCAGGAGAGTTGTGAATGGAGTGGTCCAAGTGGTCTCTTTTAATGTTTTTGCACGGATGTTGTACATGACAATGCGACCAAACAAATGTAGAAACAAGACATCCTTACTATTTGGATCGAAAGCTAGCACCATAACCGTTTTTGTAGACGACTCACGGTCCCACTTAGTGAGGAGTGGATTTTCCGGGACTAATTGGAACAGGCGAACTTTGTCTACCAAACACCATTTTCCAGGCCCGTCGACTTGACCATCAACATAACCACGACCATCGTCTTTGAACTCCCAAACACTCATACCACTAAGATCACAGTAATGAGGCAACATGCACATCCTCAGACACCCTCCTCCACACTCACCTAGGAAATGCATTGTTCGAGATTCGTCTTCAGGTTCATCAATGAAACGAAAGAAATAGTTACCAGTGTCATTTATATAAAGCTGGTCACGAGTAGTGAAGGGATCCAGCCCAACCATAAAGCGATCAGTATCAGTAAACCAATACAAGCTTCCATTGTGAGCAACCCCAGGGTGGGGAGACAATCTAGTAAAACAAAACCTCCGCGGGCTGAAAACAAGTGAATGTCTCCATTTACCAGTCTCAGAAGAGAAGATCTCCATGTAGAAACTGGAGGACTGATTGGGACGTTCCCATTGATCATCAATTATTCGCACAACCTTGTACCTATACTCAACATTAATAATACTATTATTAAGCTGAATATTGACAGTCCTCCTAGATCTTTCTGCTTCTGCTTGCTTTCGATCATTCTTGTACTTGTAGTTGGGATCGCATATGAATCCAACCATTACCCTTTTGTGGCGTCCACGTCGAGGCGGACGAGGGAGAGCCTCCCATTGCTTGGTGCGTGGATTGCAGATGTAGTAATCACGTTGATAATGCGTGGTTGCACAACACAAAATTAAGTCATTATATGTTCCTACCACACACGGCTCGCCTTTTAAAAAATCACAATCAGCTTGGAAACAAGGGAGGAAACTCAGAGAGAACTCACGTGGTGGTGTTTTGAACACCAGCTCATGAGGAGGCTCCTCCAACGACACAGAAAAGAATGTCGTCCTTGCGTGCTGTGTATCCGGGACAATGACAGTGCGTGTAATGGGTCTATCACTTTGGACACGACGAAAAAAATAAGAATTATAAATGAGACTGAACCAACGTTTGGACACACACATGCATTGAACCGCAAATTCCGAAGGAAGTCGACATAGAATTTCCAGTAATACAAATTCAGGGAGATCATCAAGATTAATATTACTCATCACTAATTTCGATATTGATTCTCCGGGTGCTGATCTTTTTGATCTTTTTGAGGAAGACTGATGATGGCGACCACCACGACCACGACCATGACCATGAGAGGGCGCTCCAAGAGATTGGGAACTTTTATCTCAAGGTCTCATCGCGGCTGCAGAACTAAATTGGATTGGATACAAACTAGAGAGCAGAAGAAAGGCAGGGTCACACTATTTATATAGATGTAACTCTGATTCAAGAAGGAATAAGAGAGATACACATCCATAAAGAAACAGGAAAAAAGCCAACTAATTATTAGGAAAGAAATCCCAATACGAATACGATTTAATTCATAAAGATTATCTTGATAGGTAAAGGAAAGTAATTATGCACATGGTGGTAACATGTCCTACTGTAATTGGGAGTTGCAGTGACCATCGATTCCTTCCTTGGCCGGTAATTAACCTCAACCAAAATTAATAATGCTCTACCAAAATGTTCTGTCACTAAAAGAAATATAGCAAGTTTAATAGAACTTTACGTTTAGTATCTACGCATTTATACACATCCACTGTACTCTTAAATCAAAACTCATCGTCAATTATAGAACTATGAATTAATAACATCATGTGGCAAGTGTAAATCAAAACCAATTTTCTGTTTGGTTGATTCATCTGTGAGTTGTATGTGGACTTGTAGTTTGCATTATTGGAGTTCATTACTTACCATTCGCATAACATTTTTTAGTTTGTCTAATTTGTTTTTTCTATTTCTATCCTGAAAGAGTCATGGTGTAGTGTGGCGAGCTACTTAGGTTTATTATGTTTAAGATTCTATTGCTTGATGAAATTTCCAGCCCATTAGATTGAGTATAGTGTACTAGTGTGGCCCTGTGGACTTGTTGGGCGGGGTGAGTAAATATTTGGGTGTAAAACTGTAAACTTTGCATTCATGGGGCATTGGTGGGTGTGTGTGTGAGGCATCAATGTAAGCCCAAGTTACTATTATCAAGTACTTCGGTTATGGCCTAAGTTATAGAATTGCCAAACATATCTTCTCAAATGAAGGCGCAAAACCTCAACTGTCATGCAGTCTGCCGCGATCAAACTCTCTCTCGATTCTTTGACTGACATCAACACCTAAAAAAAACACCACCTTTCCAAAATGGATTACTACTACTACACTCTCAGACAGATTCATAATGGTGTTAAATATTTGTCATATTCATGAACACTAAATATGTTGCATTGAACTAGCTTAGCCATAGGCATCAAAATATCATAAACCCTAAACCCTAAAGTTGGTACTAGAAAATTATGTTATCATAAACTCGGTAAAACAAACTACAAGCTGATTAAAATAAAATTTGGTTTCAGACCTAGGTGTGTGTATATATATAGTTTTTCTCTCGTCCGGACGTCCGGAAATTATTATCGTACGGACGCCATTTTAAACATGAAGGAAAGTAGAAAGGGATAGTAAAAAATACATGGCGTTGAAAGAGGTAGTAGAAAATATATGGTGTTGCACGATAATAACGTTCAGATGTAAGTATAGGAGAAAATCTATATATACATATTCATTCTGAAACATTTAGCTAGTTTAGCTCTAGCTTATTATAAGTTGTACCAACCCAAGTTAGGCCTTGACTATGTTGACTTTTGTTTTGAACATTTTATCGCCATGTTTTTCAGATGAAGAGATGGGAGTCTTTTTTCCGAAGGAAAAAGGAGGGAAATTCATTGATAATCAAGTTCAATTACAAAGAATTGAACAACATAAAATATCCCTTAAACATGGAGAAATCTAGTCAAATCTATGACTCAACAATCAACACAGAGGCCAGATTCAATGAACCAAAAAAGTACAATGGAACTCATCTCACTAGAAGCCAGAGATGACTAGAAACTCAAAGCAAATCCAGCGTGCAATACCAGTGTGATCATAGAACCCATCAAATAGAAAATAATTCTGTTTTGAGAAGAAGAGACATCGCTCAAAAGAGAAACAACATACCACCTAGCTTCCTTCCGACACTCAAACGAGCATCTGAACACTATTTCTTCTCAACCAGGAACGCCACACCTTAAACTCCAATGAAGTCCAACGAGATACATGGCTTCTCCTTTATATCAATAACCCTAAACCTCTAATAGCCTTCAAGATCTGAAGACAAAGAAGAGGGTAGGGGCGAACAAAACTGGGCCAAAAAATCCACCTTCGAAAGTTGATAGCCCATTAAAAGGCATGTCTGCATGAACGGCCATGGAATTTTCTGGAATACTCATTTCATCAAGTCCACACATAACAACAACAAATTTATGAGCTTGGATAGTTACATCTTAGCACATGTTTGACATCAAGCAATGTTTGGCTCGAGATGAACCAACCAAATATAAGCAGTAAAACCTACATTCTTGTAGAATTTAAAAAGTAAAACAACACTGAGTTGAGGGAAAACAAACGGAGACTTATTTTCCCTCAGACATGGCGTGTGCACATGCATGGGTCCAACATAACTTTAATGTTGCGAAACGCGAATGCAACCACTCGTTGCACTTATGCAACGACCTCTCTCTCGTGGGACACAACCGTGTAGAGGTTGCGGTTGTGTACATTTGTTATCAAATTAAACTACACGTGTAAATATCACCTTCACCCTTCAGGGTGCGATATGATCAACATGCAATATCCCTCAGGTTTATGCACTCATCCATGGCTTTCCAACTCAGGATGTGGAGATTGGATACATCAAGAAAGTGGTCTAATTAATTGGTTGACATTGTGCATATATATTTGAAGTAACTTTGTGATTTGTTGTTGATGGAAATGTTTATATAAATTAATTATCATTTGGTTATGGACCAATATACTAAAACGACTTAAAAGTAAAAAAAATAAATTAAGCACAGAGGTTTATAGTGCAAATAAGCCTTTAGTTTTTCTGGTATGATTTCGTGCTCGTATCGTATGTACCAATTAGGAATCTTAGGTGGACCCAGAGATCATGAGTATATTATATATAGTCAATCTAATCGGCCGGCATGGTTTTACCAAAGTAGTTCTTCCACCAAAAATACTACAAGGATGTAATTAGTTCAGAAAGAACCCATAAAAATATCTCTGTGCATAATGTATTTTGATAAGATATGTTATTACATTTTGTTATTGACATATTATCGACAATGATATCGATTTCAAATCACTATATGTTAAGCTTGCTGGCTCCAAGAGTCGTGTAACATGGTATGGAATAACGGCTACTTTCCTTTGGACCAGTCTTCCAACTTCACCGCGGCCTAGTTTTCTCTCCTCAATGGTCCCATGCCCTTTTTTTTCATTTAATATATCTTAAATTCTTGAAGTAAAATATGGAACCTTCTTTCTCGGTTGGTCTTGGTTTTGATTTTGAGTGAACATGTTTTTTTTGAGTATTCGTCCTGCAAGAAACGATTGGCTTTAGATTGGGAATAGTAGTACTCTCGTGGATTTTGAATTTACTCTCAGTTTCTTGTAGAATTGACCAACTAACAACCTTTACTCAATTTTCAAAGTAAACCCCAACTCGTGGTTTCTGTTCTTATTTCTACCAAACTTGCCCATTTCCACGCAATAATCCAATTAGCCTTTTTCTTCTTGTTCAAATCTCCAAGTAATGTGGTAAACCTAATTTAGCACACTTTTTTTCTGTCAACAAGAAAACAAAACCCATTCTTGCTACAAAGAAAAACCATAAAAGGCATGCATCAACCTATCTTTTAGAATCTCTACATGATTCGGAATATTATATATGAGTGCGTTTTAATTTGGATGATATCTTACACAATAATCGTATAATTTTAATCGCATTAATATTTCCTTGCACTCCAATTTAAATTATCTTGTATATTAAATTAATATAAAATAATCTAGACCATCGTTTGTATTAAAATTTCAAGAAGTAACCAATTCATCTACACAAATTTCAGACAGATTTCGTGACATTATTATATGTAATTTTTTCGAATAAGTAAATGTCACAAATATGCATTGATAATTTGCCAAAAACAAAAACAAAAATACAAGAAAATAAAATATCATAGCGTTGACTTGACCCCACGTAATAAGATGATCACATGTGTGACT